AAGGGAGAGATAAGGGAGAGAGGATCGATAAGTTCCATCTTCTCTGTGCCTTGTTTTGTCTTTCCTTCTCCTTTATTAATCTCTCTTCTATTCTTGTCTTTGCTCTTCCTGTTAAGAATCAATCCTGTCTATTTATCCTCCTCCTTCTCCCTTCTCCCTTCTCTTCACCGACAAAAAAACACAAGAAAAGACAAAAACACAGGGAAATGGAGGCCCTTTTCTTTTCTTATGCTTTTTCAATGGTTGGGGAAAGTAACGTGGCCCCTGTCCATGCTTCAGCGTATCCCTCCTCTTGCCCTATCTCCTCGGTTCTTTCCATTGTTCCCAAACGGAAAAGAAAGCGAGTTCCTTTCATTTTCATTGTTCTTCCTTTGGTTTTTTATTTCAAAGGCAAACGAACAAGAGAGAAGAAAGACAAGAAAGAGAGGAAAGACGAAGACGAGTACCATCTTCTCTTTGCCACGGGCAAAACCCGAGCCCTAGCTTCCAAATAAACCCTATTTAAGCCACCGGGGGGCGGAGGGGCGCCAGGCGGCCAGGGGGACAGGGTAGAAAGGCCCGAAACCACCTAAACTATCTAAACTATCTAACCTTGAATATGTAGAATGTGGGAGCTCAGTGTTCCAAAAACTTAAAGGGGACACTGCTTGCGATTTGTCATTTTGGGAGCTCCGTTTTTCAAAAACTTACGGGGGACACTGCTGGCGATTTGACATTTTGGGAGCTCCGTTTTCCAAAAGCAGGGGTACACTGCTTGCGACTTGTCATTTTGGGACCTCAGGTTTCCAAAAACTTTAGGGTGGACACTGCTTGCGATTCATCATTTTAGGAGCTCAGTTGTCCAAAAACTTAAAGGGGACACTGCTGGCGATTTATCATTTTGGGAGCTCCATTTTCCAAAAACTTAAGGGGGGCATTGCTTGCGATTTGTCATTTTGGGAGCTCAGTTTTTCAAAAACTTAAGGGGGGACACAGCTTGCGATTTGTCATTTTGGGAGCTCCGTTTTCCAAAAACTGAAGGGGGACACTGCTTGCGATTTGTCCTTGTGGGAGCTCAGTTTTCCGAACACTTACTTGCGATTTGTCATTTTGGAAATTCGGTTTTCCAAAAAACCAAGGGGGAACACTGCTTGCGATTTGTCATTTTGGGAGCTCAGTTTTCCAGAAACTTAAGGGGGACACGCTTGCGATTTGTCATTTTGGGAGCTCGGTTTTCCAAAAACTTAGAGGGGGACACTGCTTGCGATTTGTCATTTTGGAAGCTCCTTTTTCCAAAACTTAAGGGGGACAATGCGTGCGACTTCTCATCTTGGGAGCTCAGCTTTCCAAACACTTAAAGGGGACTCTGCTTGCGATTTGTCATTTTGGAAGCCCTGTTTTCCAAAACTTCAGGGGTAACAATGCTTGCGATTTGTCATTTGGGAGCCCAGTTGTCCAAAAACTTAAGAGGGACACTGCTTGCGATTTGTCATTTCGGGAGCTCAGTTTTCCAAAAACTTAAGGGTGACTTAAATTCCAGCCCCCCCCTGCCCAAGGCCGTCCCCAGGAAGAACAAGAAGAAGAGAAGAGAAGAGAAGAGAAGAGAAGAGAAGAGAAGAGAAGAGAAGAGAAGAGAAGAGAAGAGAAGAGAAGAGAAGAGAAGGAGAAGGGAAGGGAAGAGAAGAGAAGAGAAGAGAAGAGAAGGGAAGAGAAGAGAGAGAGAGAGAGCGAGCGCAGAGAAGCGGGAGGAAATTGTAGTGAGATGGATTTGTGTCCTTACACAAACATTCCAAGAAGAGAAAGAAGAGAGGCGAGGGTGGATGAAGGTAGTGAGATTGAATAGTGGCGCCTCTCAGAATTTGTTGTTTCTTCCTTCTTTCTTTCTTCCTCCCAAAGACCAGAAAGGGATGGGAGGAGAGTTACGACAATTGAAATGTTCTTTGTCCTTCTCCTTGATAAGAAAGAAGAAAAACAGTTTTGTTCATTCCTTGGTGTTTTCCTCTTGTTGTCTGTTCCTTCTCGCTGAATGAGTCTGTTGAAAGAACACGCACAAATGAACAGGGGAGCCGTTTTGTCCTATCTGAACAGAACTGTTGGAACTCAGGGGGGGTGGATTGCAGACAAACTGGAAGGAACAGGGGAACTCAGCCCTGCGAGGGGCCACTTTTTGCAACATAACTGCCCCCCACGCGCACACGCGCAGCCCCAAATCTGACTTCGCGAGACTGTTTGCAATTCTCTCCTCCATAAGAAAAGCAAAGAGCAGAGAAAAAGCGAGAAGAGATGAGAGCGAGAAGAGATGAGAGCGAGGACGAAGGTAACGAGATGATCTTGGGTTCTTGGACATTCATCTTTCTTTCCGGCAAGAACAGAGCCAGAGAAGAGAGATAAGAGAGCAAGATAAGAGAGCAGAGGAGAGGATGGATGAAGGCAGTGAGAATGAATCAGGGCGCCTCCCCCTTATTTTTGGTTTATTTTCTTCCTCATTTCTTCTCCAACAGGCAAGAAAGGGAAGAGAGGAGAGATGAGGAGAGTGTGTAAATAGAAGAGTGACATGTTTTCATGTTTACCTCTTCCTTGTTCTTCTCCTGTTATCCGACTCCTTTTCTCCTGAAAGAACCGTACGTTAGTTAAAGGTTTGTTGCTTTCCTCTTGTTGTCTGTTCCTTTCTTGCTGAATGGGAAGATCAAAAGAACATGCTGGACAGGGGCACAGGGGAACCGTCTTCGTCCTTGTATATACCCCCTTCTTTCTCCTCAACCGAAGGAACGGAAAAGTTGGAACGCAGGGGAGAGATTAAAGAAGGCAAAAGGAAGGGAACAGGGGAACTCATCCCTGCCCTAGGGGGAGAATGGGCCTCCCTTACGCAACAAACAAGTACTTGCTTCTCCTTTTTCCCGTCCATGTGCTTCGCTCATCTAGTGTTATGCATTCTCTCCTCCATAGAGAGCAGAGAGAAGAGGGAGGATGAATGTGGTGATATTGGTTTGTGCTGTTAAATCTTCATTCTGTAACAAAAGAACCACATGGAGGATGAATGCAGTGAGACTGGGTAAGGGCGCTTATCTTTATCCCTTCCTTGTGTGTTTCTTGTACATTCTGCTCGTGGCTTCCTCTTTCTTTTGAGATTGGCTTGTGTTCTCAAATCTTCATTCTGCAAGAAGAACATCACTTATTCCTTCCTCGTGTTTTTCTTGTACATTCTGCTCGCGGCTTCCTCTTTCTTTTTCTTGTTGTTATCTAGCTTGCTTAAACACTCTTGTTAGTTCCTTGTGTTTTCCCCTGTTGTCTGTTCCTTTCTCGCTGAATGGGAAGATCAAAAAAACATGCTGGACAGGGGAGCCGTCGTCGTCCTTGTATATACACCCTTCTTTCTCCGTAAACGAAGGAACGGACGAGTTGGAACGCAGGGGAGAGATTAAAGAAGGCAAGAGGAAGGGAACAGGGGAACTCATCCCTGCCCTAGAGGGAGAGTGGGCCTCCTTATGCAACAAACAACTAACTACTTGCTTCTCTCTCATCTTCCCGTCCATGTGCTTCGCTCATCTAGTGTTATGTATTCTCTCTCGCGCAAGAAAATCAAGAAAAAAAACTAGAAGGGAGAGAGCAGAGAGAAGAAGTAGGATAAGAAGAGAACCACAGAAGAGAAAGAAGAGAGGATTAGAGGATGAGTGCAGTGAGACTGAGTGTGGGCACTTCTCTTTGCGATGGGTTTTCATTCCTCGTGTTTTCCTTGTACATTCTGCTCGTGGTTTCCTCGTCCTTGTTCTTGTTGTTCTCTTTATCTAGCTTGCTTAAACACTCTTGCTAACTCCTGTAGATAAAATGAACATGCATAAGTGGACAGTGGAACCGTCTTCGTCCTTCTTCTTTACCCCTTCTTTCTCCTTAAAAGACGGAACAGAACAGTTGGAGCGCAGGGGAGGGACTAAAGAAGGCAAAGGAAGGGAACAGAGGAACTCGTTCCTGCTCTACGGGGAGTGGGCCTCCCCTATGCAACAAACAACTACCTGCTTCTCGCTCTTCCCGTCCATGCGCTTCGCTCATCTAGTGTTATGCATTCTCTCCTCCACAGAAGAGGGAGGATGAATGGGTTGAGATTGACATGTGTTATTTATATGTAGCCATTATTCTCCTCGGTAAGAAGAGCCAAGAGAGAGAGAGAGAGAGAGAGAGGGAGAGAGAGGGAGAGAGAGAGAGAGAGAGCGCGAGAGAGAGAGAGAGAGAGAGTGAGATAGAGAGAGAGAGAGCGAAAAGAGGAGACGGTGGATGAAGGTAGTGAGACTGACTTTTTCTTTGATGATTCCTTCCACTTTCCTTTTCTTCTACCCAAAGTCAAGAAAGGGAAGAGAGGAGGGGGTGTAAAGTGAATAGTGACTGAATGTAAAGAGTTCTATGGTTCCTTGATCTTCTCCTGTTCCGACCCCTTTTTCTCCTCGACAACAGGAAGTGGTCATACACCCTGGACTGTTCGTACAATCCTTTTATAACCGTTGAATGCACAACCCTAGACCATGAACCCAAAAGACATAAAATATCAAAAACTTTCTAGTAGCAATATGCATAATATGAAACGCAAACTGCTCATTTGATAAGTGTTAATACTGTTGAAGTAAAACCCAAAGCAAGTAATCACATTATACCTAAAGGTCCATGGCACATATATATATATATACTACAATGCTATAATTACACCATAATGTAAGAATATTCACATAACAATATGGAGATATAACAATATGACATTATAGCAATATATTAACAATAAACCCACATGGCAAAATAACAATATACGAATAGAATACTATAACAGTATCTGAATATACGAATATACTGAGATACGAATATAAAATACATGAATCAAATAATGTAGTAACATACCCATATAACAAAATACTGTTATAACAACCTACTAACTGACCATAACCAAGTACTTTATGTATATGCGAGAGTGAGGTACGAATATAAGAATATTGTTCCACATCAAACCCAAATCAACAGACAGATATCAGCATTCGCACCTTGGGGATGTGGTGCTTGGTCGCGACCTCCAGGGCGCGTGCCAGCACGGCCATGTAGTCGTTCCAGCCGAGGTGCTTCCACCTGAGAATTCTGGTTCTGGCTGGTTCTTAGGGAATGAGGGAATGAGGGAATGAGGACCCTATATAATCCCTTAAAGGGTATATGTGAGGGCCATATATATATATATATATATTTGAATCTAAAAACAAATATGTATGTCTATATATATATATATATATATACTCACACGTGCGTGCTTCGCACGCACTTAGTGTCGGCAGGGGCGACGGGACAACTTTGGAGCGAACCCGGTGGGGCAGGGGGTCAGGCTCGAGTTTCCTGGTTTTTGGGCTTCGTATTCCGAGCTTTTTTTGTTGCCGGAAGCGGGCGGGGTGGGGGGGGGGGAGGGTTCCCAAGGACGGATGTCACACGTGTGTGTTTCGCATGCTTCGCATCGGCACGGGCGCAGCTAAATTTGAACCAAGTGTTGAAAGAACGGACCTGCTTCTGTGCTCAGGGTGCTGGGTTTATAGAGGTTGCAGAGGGCCTTGATCTCAGGGCTTGCCTTAACCCTAAACCCTAAACCCTAAACCCTAAACCCTAAACCCTAAACCCTAAACCCTAAACCCTAGGGGGGTGGGTGCGGGGGGGGGTGGGCGGGTAGGGGGGATGGGGGAAGGGGGGATGGGGAAGGGTGGGTGGGTGGGTGGCCACGGCGGGGCTGCCGCACCAACCCACTGGGCTGTCTATTTGTTTACGTATGTGTATATATATATATTTATTTATTTATTTATATATTTGTTTGTATTTACATTTGTATTTATACTTATAGTTATATCCTTCAAGGGTCTTTGCATGGCCCTGATTCCCTCATTGCCTGCTAAGAGCCAAACACGCCTTGGGCAACTAAACTGGAAGTTCAATGCCTGTCCCTCATTGAAAGCTGGTTCAACCTCAATGGGTTCGAGTCTGTGTTCTGCGGCTTGTCACTCGATAATGGATTCTGCTGAGACTGGGCATATCCATATCATGGCATGGCTGCGCGCTGCAATCGACAGGCCATCGTCGCTCGCCAAAGCAACCCTAAACCCTAAACCCTAAACCCTAAACCCTAAACCCACACTGAGCGTCCGGCGTCTGTCCATAAATCTTGTCGCAGATGCCTTCAGCTTCGTGCATCGAAGTCTTGTCGGTGACCTGCGTGTTGTTGCAGTGCCCGGAGACAAAGCAGTAGATTGCATCGGCCCCTTGGCACACAAGGGGAATCCTGTCAAGGAGACCCAGAGGACGAAATCTCTGAAAATGGACCCAATGAGCCCAATATCCCTCAATTAGGGAAGATTGCTTCATTAATCTATATAGGGATCCTTAATATGATTTAAGGAATATTCCTTAATTGAAGGGGTATTGGGCTCTTTGGGGACACGCAACGCACATGGGCGCTCGTCTGGGATCGCGGCCGGTCAGCTTAAGCTTTTGCTGGGCCTTGAACATCCTTGAAAGACCAGCAGAATCTGTGTGTTGAGGGTTTAGGGTTTAGGGATTAGTATCAGGGATTTTGTAGAAGGCTCAAAGAAAACCAAGCCCACTGGTGGTTGAACTGCAGTGGTACCACATCGCATTGCTTCGGTGATAGCTGCTTGTCCGAAACGATGGGCCAACCCTTCGAGTACGCGGTGTCGTGTCGTGCCAATGTAGGTTTTAGGGGCTTGGGGTTTGGGGTTTAGGGTTTGGGGATCATTCCGTCATGATTGCAGACAGCCTACGTTTACACGACTAGGCCATGGTATAGGTCGCATCGCAATACAGGTCGCATTGGCTCTGTTCGATGCATCGGCAAGCCGGGCCACTCTCTGGCGTATCCACGAGAATCGCTCTCCACAATGCACCTGGGATGCTGATGCTTTGAGGAGAAGGGGGTAACGTGCCCTGCCAGTCTGGCTAATCTTATCCAGGTCAGCGCTAAGACTCAAGACGAAGCTCAAAGCAAGACATACCATCTCTGCAAAACAGCAGTTCGGATCCGGAAGGCCCCTCAAGCCCGAAGCCCTAAACTTGAGGTGGCTTGGGTGGTAAGTGGAGAGGTCTCAGCCCTGCCTGACCCCAAGGGCCCCAATACAAGACTTTGCCCAGGTCTATGGTTGCCAAAGCCCTGGTGCGTGGATGCTTGTGACGTGCAGGGCGCAACTCCAACTCGCAGCACAAACCCTCTTGCTTCCGACCGGAACCCCTAACCCCTAAACCCTAAGCCCTAAGCCCTAAACCCTAAACCCTAAACCCTAAACCCTAAACCCTAAACCCCTGCATCCTGGGCACTTCTGCATGGAAGTCGAGTACATTGGGTATGCCCGGCACCAACTTCTGAGGTTGGCCTGCGAAATGCATCTCCCTAAGCCTCCTCAAATCCTACTCAGGGTTTCGAGTTTAAGGTTTGGGGTTTAGGGTCTCTCAACTACTTTCTGTCCGGGAGGGCAGGGGGGGTGTGATGATGTGGGGGGGGAAGTGTGGGAGGGGGCAGCAACCAGAGCTTCACAGACTCATGCGCGATCCTTTTGAGGAACCTGGCCATGCTTCTCCGTACAGCTTACTGTAGGGCTTAGGGTCTTGGATACTTTAGAAGGGAACCCATAGCCAAAAAAGGGTAAAGGGTACCACTGGGTTACCAACGGTTTAACGCTTAGGTTCAAGGGGCAAGTTTATAACAGGGTTCTTCGGGTTCTTCCGACTTAGGAAGATATTTGGACGGTGGTGTCAAGTCGAAAAAGTACAGGAGGACAGCTCTCCCAATTTCCTAGCCTCCCACGTCTCCCATTCTAACCCTAAACCCTAAATTTTAGTCGGGGGGGGGGAGCCTGAACCCTAAATTGTCGTTGGAAATCCAGGGTTCTGTGGTAGGGCAGGTGCGAGAAACAAAGGCTGCAAGCACGAGGACCACCCTCCACAGCCTAAATGCGAAACCCTAAACCCTACAGCAAACCACTTTTTTTCCACACGAAGTCCAAGAACCCTTCAGCAGGAAACCCAGAACCCTCGAAGCTGAAACCCCTAAAAAACCGGAAGCAATCCCTACAGTAGATGCTGAAACACTTAACGCCTCCTTAAAGCAGCCAAAACCCTTTATAAGCGCTGAAGCCCTACATCCCGGTATTCTCTTAAAGCTGAAGACCGCCACAAAAAAAACCTAAACTCTTGCAAGCCTTACCACCCTCAAGGCTGAAATCATTAAAAAAAACTCTTGTCCAAGCCAGCTGCCACAAGAAAACAACCGAGAGTGGTCTCACCCTGAATCCTACACCCTGCGACTTAAGCCCTAAGCCCTCAGCCCCTAAACCCTAAACCCTAAACCCTAAACCCTGAAGAGCCCTCGCCATCCGAGCCTGGCCGCCGCTGGTCGCTATCTGCGTGTCCATCTTCTCCTTCTCAGCCTTCGTCAGAGGCTCCTGCGATGCCGAGCGGTGCTGGCTTTTGAGGCTTCTGGGGGTTTACGATATGAGGGGTGCCTTATTGGGGGGTCCTTTCTGTAAGGGTCATTGATTTCGTGCACTCCTAGGTAGCCTCAAGTTTAGAATTTTGCGGTTTGGGGCTCATGGTGCTCAGGCATAGGGTGCTTAGGGTTCGAGGGTGTAGATTGAGGTTGGATGAGGTCGTTTGGGGTGCTACACACGCCTCTGCATCTAAGTTGATCATCTACAAGACATCTCCGAGCAATCTTCGTCACCCGTTCGTCCCAAATGAAATGAATATGGGGCCCGGTAGGGAGGGTCCCAGGGTTGTTTGGATGGTTTGTTCAACGCCCGGACCCGAAACCCCAGACCTGAAGCCCTGCCGCTGATAGCGGGCCGTATCGGCCGCCGAAGAACTGCTAGCCACTCGCCAAGTGCTGTAAAGATCAGAGGCAAAAACAGATATGGGGGTTTGCGACATTAGGCGTACCTTATTCGGGGTCCTTAATAAAATGGAATCGCAGGGCTCCCTTATGTCCGCCAACCCCCCCCCCCAGATATCTATATGATCATCGAATCTATAATATATATATATATGTATTTATACATATATATGTATTTATACATATATATATAAGTCCTTGGAGCAGTTGAGCTTCTTTGTGCAGAACATGGGATACTTGGCGCAGTCCACAGCGCTCCTGCACCGTGGGTCCGGATTTTCAGATCGAAGCCTTTGAGGGATGAGACATTTAAGTCGATGCTATCTGAGGACCTAAGGATTCCGATGATGATCATGCAGAGGACACCAAGTCGTTGGGCCATTACCTGCCAAGGAACCCCTCGCCATCCCAAGTTGGCTGCTGAAGTTGTAGCACTCGACTCACCACATGCTGCACTGCCTCAGCCAGGGGCAAATTTCTGAACACAGCGCCCCAAAAAGCAACCATCGCCGCTTCCGATCATGCCACACAATTGCAAGGACGGTACGGGTACGAGGACCTGACTGAAACTGTTGACGCAAAGCCTTTCAGGAGGCAGTCGTCGTAAGAAGTTGCACCCGACCCTCTACACAAGCGCCCTCGAACCATCGTGCATCCACAGTGTGCCCGGAAACCCAACACAACCTAAACGACATAAGCCCTAAGCCGATTCAGCAATGGTACGTGATCCTCTCCGTGGAGGTTCTGAGCAATGAGCATCTCCTTCATGGCAGTCGCCCCCGCCCACCCCCTGCGGTTTCGAGTTTAGGGTTTAGGGTTTAGGGCGTGGGTTCCGGTGTGTGCGATCCCAAGCTAGTCCTCATCACTTTCTTCTTCTTGCGCGTCCGCCCGCCCAGCTGCATGATAACTTTCGCCAGCCTGGGCTGGGAGCATTCTATAGCGTTCTGTTCTCACCGAAACTCCCTAAGGCCCAAACCTAAACCCTGAATCCGAAACCCTAAACCCTAAATCCTAAACCCTAAACCCTGAACCCTAAACCCTAGACCCTAATCCGACATCCTAAACCGCAAGCCCAAAAAAAGGCCTTAATAATTAGAACAGGGTTTTGGGGGGGTTGCTATAGTCTAGTTACAAAGGGACCACAAGGGAATACTATTCGTAATTGCTCCGACCCCTATATTAAATCCTAAGCTGCGACCCTGGAGACCCGCATGTTCTTAAACCCTAAACCCTAAACCCTAAACCCTAAACCCTAAACCCTAAACCCTAAACCCTAAACCCTAAACCCTAAACCCGACGGCAAGCTCATAAACCCTGAAAAGCTGAACCTTGGCTCCTGCCTTGACGCTTCGAACTCCGTACTGGAGAAGCTCCTGGTGTTGAGGGCTGAGAGTGGTTTCGGGTTCAGGGTTTCGGGTCTAGGGTTTTAGGGTTTCGGGTCTAGGGTTTTAGGGTTTAGGGTTTAGGGTTTAGGGTCTAGGGTTTAGGGTTCAGGGTTTAGGGTCTAGGGTTTAGGGTTCTTGGACATCCTTTCGATTCTGGGGTGTCGGGTGCCGGAGCTTAGCTAAGTCTAGAATAGGCAACATGAAAACCAATCTCGGTTGGGCTTTCAACCCTTTGAAAGATACTCATAGGTAGGGTCCCTGATAAGCCCAAAGAAAGGAAAACCTGGCAGAATTTCCCAAAGGCCAAGCGAGTAACAGTGTCGGCAACGCGACGTGGACTCAAACCGCCAAACCCTGGGCACCCCAAGCTCACCATAACTTGGTAGCCCAGTAACGATATAACCAATAAGGGCACCCTTCTTTGGTTGGATAATTTATAAGAGAACCTTGAACCCAAAAAAGGGAAGAACAAGGGCAACACTGGGCTAGCTTTGGACCTGAGCAGGCGCTGTACAAAACAAGAGCTCATTTCGCCCATGAGGATGTTTGAAACATACCCTAAACCCTGAACCCTAAACCCTAAGCCCTAAACCCTAACCCTAAACCCTAAACCCACATCAGAGCAAGCAGAAGGAGCAAGGCGGAGCATGGGAGGGAGAGAAAACGAGAGAGAGCCAGAGCAGCTGCTACCAGTTGAGGGAGAAGATGTTTGTAGAGGAAAGAAAGAACGAAGAGGCGGAGCACATGGCAGCCAATAACAGGCTGGAAGGTGGCAAGAGAGACAGAGAGAGAAAGAGAGAGTGGGAGAGAGACAGAGACGAGGAATCAGCTGCTTCCACGTAGCCCCCGATCCTGCCGCATCACCTGCAGTTCTGCTTCCTCTTGGATCCTTGGTAGCCCAGTAACCATATTACAATAAGGGCACCCTTCTTTCGGGTGGTTACATGATAAGTTTTTAAGGGAACCTTGAACCAAAAAGAAGGGAAAAGGGTAGCACGGGGCTACCAAGGATCTCGATGTCCACCTCGGCCTGAGAGTCCGCGAGGCAGTCTTGCCCAGAGGCATCGCCACGCACGCCTCAGAGTTTGGGGTTTAGGGTCTTGGGGTTTTTCGGGTTTCGGGTCACCAACCCGGGGCCCAAAGTCCCAGAGTCCCACACTTCTCCAAACCCGAGGCCCGTGGGCCCGTGCCAGATCCATGCCTTCTTTTGTGAACCCCGAAGGCGTCAAAGTGGCTTATGCCAAGCACGGCCACCGCGAGGAAAGCTCGTCCGCACATACTTGCGCGCGCCATGTGCAGAACTGCTTGGGTAGAAGGTCGCTACCAGCGTGCCAACGTGTGTGCGAATCAGTAGTTGTTCTCGCAGTCAGATATGAAGGATGCCGCTGCATGCATGTATGTATGCCGCCGCAAGCAATTCGTGCCGTGGATTTTCGGCCGCTACGGCTACAAGTAAAATTGTAGTTTGAGCCACAAACACCAGCACATGCTCAGCAGTGGCCATATTGGCCCGTTCGTGCTGGACAGCCAGCCACATGACAGAAGCACTGGTGCGCTCCCAAAGCACAGTATGGACAAGTTTTTGGTGAGCCACAAACTCCTCCGCCTTAATCGCTGCTTCGAATAAGGAGTTGGATGTGATTGGCACGAAATGCCACGAGGAGCGCAGCCCAAAGGGAATCATCCCCGGCTGCAAGCGCAAAAGGGGCTGCGAGTTGGCGGTCGCGCTGACCAGAATCCTCTTCTGCTTGGGATGCAGACATTTGTTAAAGAACACGGTCAGATGTGTTGCTCAGGCACATATGCAGTATCCTTGTCAATGCTTCACCGGCTTTTATCTTCTCAAGAAGCTGGAATGCCACATCTCTGGGTAGCATCGTGGCATATTGTGGTTCTACTGGTTGACATCGTCATACCGTCTCCATACGGATGTGACTAATCATGACGTTTTGGAAATAAGGCTGGGGGGCAGGCATGCACACATACATAAATACATACATACAGTACTGTACTGTTCTTTTTTGTTCGAAGCAGTTCAGGCAAGGCGTTCTTGCACTAACACACCAGTGCCTTCTTTTTTGGGGAGCCATTCCCCCTGAAACACATCATAGACCGCTCTCGGAAAGTCTTGCAGAGCAAAAAATTTTAAAAGACCCACCTCCCTGCTGTTGCATGGCAGGCGGGCTGGCCACGAATTAGCTGGCAACAAACGTAGCAAATAGGCCTTAAGCCTCAAACAGCGCCCTAAACCCTAAGCCCAAAACCCTAAACCCTAAACCCTGAACCCTGAACCCTGAACCCTGAACCCTGAACCCTGAACCTTACTTAATCTTCCTGCTGGCTGTGGAGCCGTCTGTGCGCGCTCAGGGCTGCCATCAGCCTGCAAGGAGCACCGCATGTAGGGCCGGGTCTACAAGTTTCCGGGCAAACCTGAACCCTGAACCCTGAACCCTAAACCCTAAACCCTAAACCCTCAACTGTCGGGTCTTGAGATTTTTAAAGTTTGAGGTCCGTGCGCTCTGAAATTCCCAACATTACTATCCATGTACAAAATGGAGACTCTCGGTCACTCCCTTGGCTTCTTTTTTGTTGAGCGCCTACGAGGGCCCCCCTAGTCCGTGCGAGCCTTGCAGCCACAATCATCTGGGCGCTTGGGGTTTAGGGTTTAGGGTTTAGGGTTAGGGCTTAGGGTTTAGGGTTTAGGGTTTAGGATTTAGGATTTCGGGTTTAGAGTCTAGGGTTTAGGGTTTAGGGGCTCAGAGCGTTCCGGATTGGTTGGAGGTCCGTGGTTCTTAATAACCCAACGATAACTGTACTTAGAACTCAATTCTAAGCATATTAGGGCACTGAAAGGGCTTAGAAGTGGGTTGTAAGTGCAGTTTGAATTGGGTTATAAGTACCAGGGACCTCCAAGTAGTGACGGGAGTTGTCCCATCTCACCCATGATTTGTGGAAAGTAACTTCTGTTCGAGGCACGGTTGCGCGTCCGATAGATGCAAGAATCTAAACCCTAGACCCTAAACCCTCAACCCTCAACACAACAAGCCCCTAGATCTGTTGCAGCAGCATTCCTATGGATGCGGCATCTAATTAATGGAAGTGCTCTCACAACCCTAAACCCTAAACCCTAAAACCCAACATCCCGGAGACCCGAAACCCTCAAATCCAAAACCCAAAACCCAAGATCGTCACAACGCTCGCCCCCTAAGATCTCTCAGTTCGTCAACTTAGGGGAATAGGGTTTGAAGTATAAGGCTACAACAGAGAAGCCTAGACCCGAAGCGCTGACCCTCAGGGTCCATGGACCTAAATAGTGAGTACTTGGGCCTTAAAGTACCTCCTACATAGTCACTTTAACTTTGGGCCCAATGTCTTCCCTATTAGGTACATGAACCCTTAGGTCTCAGTTTCCCTAAACCCTAAACCCGAAACCCTAAACCCTAAACCCTAAACCCTATGCCCTAAACCCTAAACCTAAACCCTAAACCCTTCGGGTACCTAGGGCATAAGGCTGAACCTGCCTGTTAGGCGCAAAGGTTCCGGTCATGAAGGCACCTTCGAGCATGCCGGGCGCTTCCTGCCGTTCGCTGGCGCGAAGGGCTTCGTGGGCTTGAGGGGATTTAGGGTTTAGGGTTTAGGGTTTAGGGCGGTTTAGGGTTTAGGGTTTAGGGTGCTTTAAGGAATTTAGGGTTAAGGGTTGAGGTTTTAGGGTTGACGCTTAAGATATCCTGAATGGAGCGAAATGCGAAACCCTTAACCCTAGACCAGCAGGGTGTAGTGTTTAAGGTTTGTTGCATCGTTTCAGGGACAGGAGGCATGAAGGGTTTAGGCGGCTCAAGCGTCCGGCTAAGGGTTTTCAGGGGGCTAATTAGGGTTGAGAAGTAGGAGGCGGACGCGAGCAATTGACTTGAGACAGCATGCACAAATTTTACCCAGAGCCACTTTTTGCCGAATCTCACCCACAAGTCCTCCCTGAGGACAGGGCTTTGTGAAAGAAGCATGAGATGAGTTTACTTAGGCCTGAAGCAATGGGTTTGCGGGGTGGGGTGACCGAAAAGTGTCAAATGGCCCTCCACAATCGGACAACGGCTCCCTTTCGCATGTTACAAACCTTTCGAAGCTACTCTGCATCCCAACCAGCTTCTACACCAAATCGCAACAAACTCTAAACCCTAAACCCTACACCCTAAACCCTGAATCCTACATCCAACACCAGCCCCAACCTCATCGGAGCTGTCACCAGGACGGGGCAAGAAGCACAGATAGTCCGGAATCCCATCGCCTGCGCACTCTCAGAACCCGAAGGGTTCAGGGTTTAGGGCTTTGGGGGCTCCAGCTTGGGATGCTTCCCCTTATGTACCAGTCCTTAATAGGGATTCTAGTACCCCCTATCGGAATCCCGATTAAGGGCTGTCAGTATAAGGGGGAACATCCCAAGCTCCAGCTTCTGACGACGAAAGGAGACCGGAAACGGGTGACAACAAGAGCAATAAGTATAAGAGCAAAAGAAACCATTGACAACTACGCCAATGCAAGTACCAATACACATGCTCATTCTTATATTCATACTACATTCTAACTAAGATATACGGAATACCAGAGAATACTCAAGACTAATTACTTAAGACTAAAGACTACATACTTAACAGGAAAGCTAATAATTACTGGCAGTACGTACTAGTACTTGCAACAACAATAATGGTAACTGCAATCATCGAGATGGCAAATTTGCTGGGGCGCACCGTCCCGGTCCGTTGACATCATGTGGAGGAAGCTTTCCTGGCGAAGGTGCGCCCTCACGGTTCTGCTCCTAGCTGAGTCTGATGTCAGTCAAGCGTAGACTTGTCGAACAGCAGGGCAGTACGTCTCAACACTTCCATACAGGGCTTACGAACTTCGCCCTGCACGCGGCTTCCACTGTCAAGCCAAGGTCCATGGCATGAACTCTGAGGCGCATGTCACGGGGGGACAAGTCCCAGAAGCAACCCCCAGGCGGTGCGCACATGCTTCTGACGCCGCATCTCGAGCGCGTAGCAGTAGATGATGGTGTCAAAGACCTTAACCAAGAAACGAGGAACAACAACCAAAGACGACAGAGGTGGCATGCTGAATAACCCCTTGCACAGAGTTGGTGCTTCCTGGGTAGGCTCGCACATATATAAATAAATAAATATACATATATATATGACATACCTGTGCGCGTACACGCAATCCATCCATCGTCGGCCCATCATCTACTCATCAACTTGAGTCATATTCTTACATGTTCAGGCGCTCTCTGGCCACTGCCCACAGCTACGAGTACCTGTGCACCAGGTACTCAATGGCATTCTCACATGAGATGAAATACATCTGCACACAGCATAGACCAGGGTTTAGGGCTTAGGCGTCTAGGATAGCCCGTGTACTACTCTCGTTCTTGCTGCGCTGTGATCTAAGCCTGCCACTGTGTCAAACACCAGCATGATGCTTCTGCCTCGGAAAGTTGCAGTTCCAAAATATGTTTCGAGTGGACCCAGGATCGCGGAACAATACCTGAGAATGAATCGACGTGTTTGCTGATACGAAGCTTCTGCGTAACTGGAGACAGGTACCTCTACAAAAACAGCAGGACACCAATCAAGAACACCAGCGCTGCTGCAACACTGTGCCCTTCTACAGGCAATTATTGTGATTGTTGTCCCCTGTGCGGCATCCAAAGTTTACATTCGCATGTTCCGGAGCGTAAGGTTCAGGGGAGCATGTAAGGTTTCGGGGTTACAAGGGTTAGGCTTGTATCCTTTAAAGCCTTGCCTTAAAGCTTTTGGTAGCAAACTCTCATCTTTAAGTCCTGAACGCTAAAGCGGCTGGAAGGTTGATACCCTTAATTTAACCCCAAACCCAATGCTGCCCAGAAATATGATTCCCGGCGCCTTGCTCCATAGTATATCAAGAAACACCCAAACCACAACTTAGAGCACTGACTTTTGATCTGACTTCGAGATTTTGGCTCAGGAAGCTCCGGACCCATCTCTGAATGGGTAGTTCTCTACACGAGGGTCCCTTTTGTTTTCTTTTTTTGGGGGGGTTGGGGGGGGGTACTATAAAGGGGACCCAACAAAGGGACCCTAATTTTGAGAGCTACCCAAATGATAACGGACTTCTTGAAGCCAAGATGCCGATGAGCAGCCCGACCAGGCCGGTGGAAAGGAAGACCTTGGATTTAGGGTTTAGGGTTTAGGGTTTAGGGTTTAGGGTTTAGGGTTTAGGGCTTGGAGTTTGGGTTTAGGGCTTGGAGTTTAGGGCGCACAAGC